TTGGGGTTTGGAGAACTCATGTTCCCCATCTGAATATCCTGATGGTCCCTGTATCCTGGGTCACGAGCAGGTTTTCTCTTTTTTAAGTGGAGGGAGTCCAGAACAAGTTACAGTCCTGAAAGAGCTACAGTTCAATTCAATTCAATGAACATTTATTAAGTGCCTACTACATACCAGGCACTGTGCTAAGTAGGGGAGATATAAATAAGAGGAAAAAAAAGACAGTCCCTGGCTTCAAGGGGCTTATAATCTAAAGTGACCCATCTAGGGATCATGTTTTACGAGGTCTTTGTCCATAAATACAAGCCTGAGTTGAGCCTTTAGTTGAAAATTAGCAATGGCCAGACCAGGGGACTGTTAGGCGTCTGGAACCTCAAGCTCCCCAAAATGGTTGTCCCTTGTTACTGGACCATAGTGCTACTAAAGAGATGACATAGGTGATACAATTTCTCTTCAACCAGAATTGCCTCTTATGAGTTGGGTAATGTAAAATGTAAGATGGGGAGGGCACAGGAGGCTTCTGTTGCTAAATGAAAGTGATATACCCCATGTCACGTTCACTTAGATAATTTGGGTGGGTGTTAGTGACTTTCACAAATGGGTTGTGCCTCTGACAGAGACTGAGACCTCCATATAAGCTCTGAAGATTTAGTTTTTTAATCACAAACATCTTCCTACATATAGGTAACATTTCCCAAGGTATAACCTATAAGTTGAACCATTAGAAGTTATTTTGAAGATGATTCAGCATCCTTATCATATCAGTAGCTGTAAATAGCACCATTTCTCTGACAGAGTAAAGCTTGCGACCCATGTGTAATCACTTACTAAATACCACATTAAGTAATCACTCTGCTGCATTCATCATCATTTGAAAAGTTCATTCAATGTCTTGGTCTTATATTTGTTGCTTGATTTGAACTTTGTTTTCAATGAAAATCATGGATGTGGCTATGTGGGAGTTGTATTTGAAGACATTCAATAATTTTGGGCACTCCTTTGGTTAGCCCCTAGTTTGGAAAACTCTGACTACTCTGCCAATGTGGGGCCAGAGTTTGAATCAGGGGGCACACAGTATGGCTGGGCTGGCATGGGGGGCATGCTGCACAGGGCACCAAGCCGAGCCTCTCTATTTGGTCATTGTCTGCACACTGAGTGAGCAGGCTTGACATCACTACCCTGGAGCCATTGTATGGCCAACTCATATTTGTTCCCAATCTAGTCGCGAAGAGTGCTATGCCTAAACTCTTCTTCAGGCTAAATAGCTTGAAATCATCAATCCAAAAGGCAGCCCCAGAAGTGAAGGTCGGAGGATGGAGCCTGGTCCAAAACACCGGAGCAGTGTACCCCATATCTCAGCAGCTTCCCAAGGGATTTGGGTATCACATGAATTGGATTCAACCCTGTGAAGCCTAACACCAGAAGGATCAATTTATTTATATTTATATTGTTGTCCTGAGGTAAAAACTCAAGAGAAATCTTTTTTGAAAATGTAGATATGGTTCACATTTAGTTTTCCTTAAATATGAGTGTAAAACCAACCTTAATATAATCTTCTATAGAGTATAGATGCAATTACTGCCTCTTTAAGAGGCAATGGAATTTTGAAGTGACAGTTTGAGGAGTCTATGAGTAGGCTGAGAGTTTAATTGACATTCTGGAGAGACTATTAATTGTGACATTTGAAGAGAGGGCAAAGAAAAAGGATTAAGAGAACTCATGTCCTGAGAGAGCTAAGTTTGACACTTCTCTTGTGAAGAAACATGAAGAGAAGAGACTTTAATTGGCATCCCAAGGGAATTGAATGAGACTGTGTTTCCAGAACTGAGGAGATAGAAGTTATAGTGATGGTTCAAAGTGACTTAGGCTGTGATCTTTCTCAAAGGTGATTTATTGAAAATAATTATGTCTTTGTTTTATTGTTTGTTGTACTGTTGATAAGTAGTATAGTCAGTAACCTTGATTATTTCATCCACTGAGATTAAGGGATTTCATATATGCAGAGAGATGAGCAAAAACTTATAGGAAAAGTGGCTTCTCTAGTTTATTAAGCAAATAATATTTAATAAACCTGAGCAGGGACTCAGATATAACCCATTAATTAGTAAGAAAAATATTACAATTTTAGAAATTAATAAGGCACTATCAGAACATAACCCCTGAATGGCCTGAGAACCTGGTTTGAAAGTGAATAATGAACGAATAGCAGGTGGAAAGAGAGAGAGAGAGACGATCCTTATCTCAGTTACACAATCTCTCCTTCATTGGTAATATGTCCTGATAAAAGTTCTTTATATGTGATACAGGTGTCAAGTATGAGATGGTTTTTATTTCACTCACTAAAGTAAATACATAAGCTACAAAGGCCTCACAAGAATGCATAAAAATACAGGGAAAGTATATATTTTTAACAATCCATTTTACTCATTCCCTTTTCCAAAGGGTGTGTCAGGAGAGGCCCCCTGCCTGTTGCTGATATGGTACTTCCTCTTCCTCGAAGATCTCCACCTCATGGAGAATATGATCCCTTGTCTATCAGGGGTAGGGAACCTGCAACCTTAAAGCCACATGTGGCCTTCAAGGTCCTTGGGTGTGGCCTTTCGACTGAGTCCAAGTTTTCCAGAACAAATCCTTTTATTAAAGGGATTTGTTCTGTGAAGTTTGGATTCAGTCAAAGGGCTGCACAAAGGACCTAGAGGGCTACATGTGGCCTCGAGGCTGCAGGTTCCCCAACCCTGGTCTAGACTATTTTCCAAGAGAGGAGCATACACAAGATAACATAGAGTGCCCTATGTAGTTACCATCATTCTGATGCTTCCTCACCTGCTGGACCAAGCTTATACCTGGATTCGTCTCCCATATTACTTCCAAATTTCTGTGATGCTGAGTGAGGTGCCTAAAAGCAAGCCAGCATCCTTACCCAGTGCCCAGTGTCCGTTCTCCCATTGGCAGCCACCTCAACCCTCACTTTAGCTCTAATTGCATCTCCCATTGTGACTACTGTGCCTGGCTCATAGCCTTCCTGTGTGCCCTAACTCCTGTCCTTATACTCAGGAACTTGAAAGTATTTGTTAATGTTACCTCAGATGCCCTGACATCCCAGTTCCCTAGCTTCCTCCACTCCCACAATTCCATTCCACCTCAGCTAGTTATAAGGATGGCCACACTCTTGATCTCACCATCATTCACAGGTTATTCCATTTCTAGGGTCAACAGCTTGGAAATTCTTTCATTAGATTGTAACCTCCTGCTGTTCTATCTTTCTATATGCCTTACTCCTCCTAAAATTATTCTTTGACCTCACTGGCAACTCAGAATACGCCATTCCCCTATACTCTCTCTCTGACTGCCAACCTTCTTAAACTTCTCTTTTTTCTTGCTCCAATCTCAAGCCTATAATAAATTAATCTAGCTCTTTAGTATCCCCTCTTATCCCTGGGTGCTCCTTGACAAACCCCAACACTTGATCACTCATACCATCTGCCTCTTCTACTCTTTATCACGTATTGCTTTATGCGACTAGAGGACCATGTAACCCAACTAATTCATGCTGTCTACTTTCAAGTATTCCCTCTCTACAACAAGGTAAACATTTTATTCTTCTCTAATAAATTCTCTATACCATTCCCTCCATACTTTTTACCTTCTCTCCTTAAGCTTCCCACACTATCTCCTTCCCTTACACTGTTCGCTAAGACCCTTGTCTCATATTCTACTGAGAAATAGAAACCACTCACTGTATGATCTTTCTTTTTTTCCTCTCCTTTTCTACATCTGGACACCTCTTGACATTACCCACAATGCCCTTCCCTTTTACTCCAATTTCTGATGAAGAGATGACCTCTCACCGAGGCCAATCCTTCTGTCTTGTCTTCTTTTCTTCAGAAGATTGCTTCCATAATCACCACACCTTCCTACAGCCTTTGATGTTGTCAAATAGTTCAACATCATAAATGGATGTGGTTTTATCAGTGGAAATGGCATTAAAATGAAACATTACCATCTGCAGAATCATGGGAACTTTCCATCTTACCTGTAGCTATTTTTCAGATGAATCTCATGTTTGCATCTGCTGCCCTGTTTGGTTTCAACTACACGGACTGAGATTCCTCTACCAAGATAAGTTCATCACTTTTAACTCACCACTGTGCTGCTAACTCATGATCCCCCCTTCCTCAGCCTCTCTTCCCCTCTGTTTGGAGGACTAGTGGACAGATTACCAAACTCCTCCCATTGCCTTCCTCCATAGAGGCCAGAAGCTGAACTCACATCTCCTCACTTCACTTTGGGTATGCTGCCCTGCCTAGTTTCAATTCCATGAAACTTGCCCCTAGTCTTCAGGGTGCCCTGGCACTTCCTGCTTTTTTCTTGCCTCCTTTTCTGTGTTATTTCCCCCTTAGACTGTAAGCTCCTTGAAGGCGAGGACTGTCTTACTTTTTATTACTTGTATTCCCAGATTTGTTACCTAGGTTTTTGTGAAGTGGATATGTATTGTTTATATTGAATCCTCTCTCACGTTTTGCTACGTACATGGAAATGTTCTTTTTTTTCCCTTTTCTCATTTTGTATTTAAGTTAAAATAAATCAAAAAGAACTTAGCATAGTGCCTGACACATAGTAGGCACTTAATAAGTGTTTGTTAGATTGGATTGGCTATGTGTTGTCTTCCCCACTAGAATGTGAGCTCTTTGAGAACATTCAGGTCTACGTATGACTCCGTACCAAAGAAACTTCTGCAAAATTGGCTACTATTTAAGAATAATTCATTTCCATTTAGATTTTGCCAACTAAAAGAATGCCTTTTGACACTACAGAAACTAACAAAGCATCATGGAAGGGTAATGAGAACCTTTCGTTGGTCAAGCTAGTTTTAATGGAGAAAATGTCCTGAATTCCCGAGATCCCAAGAATGAAACTTCAAACTTTCAATCCGTTTAATTTTTTAAAAAGTTTAATGAGTTATAAAATAAATATAATTCCATTAAATAATAAATAAACTATTTACAAGTGGAAACATATTACTTTATATTCCCATGCTTCTGTATGTACAGAAATAATAAGACTTTCAGCATAAAAGTTGACATTTGAAAGTTAAAAAACATCAGAAAAATAACCAATTTTCTGATGACTCACAAGAAGAAAAAGTCTTGCATTTGTGGTTGTGATATGGCAGTTACTTCTTCATCTTCAACTGGATAACCTATTAAGAAATAAAATACATGTGTTATTCATGAGAAATCTATGAGTTTTTTTCCAAACCAGCATCAAGAACAAAAAGTGAAAAAAAAAATGAGAATTAAGTAAAATTGCTGGCCAGAGAAACACCCTGGTGGCCTTCCTTCCTGCCATTTTGAATTCAATCCTGCTACCACAGCTGCCTTTGTTATTATATGTGCCTTCTTCGGTAAAAGAAATGCATGTGTTTTAACCATCAGTTTGACTAGGGTATAGGCAACAAGGAGGTGGTGAGAAATAATTATTTCAGTGTATTACAAGGAATCCCATGTAAAAACACACAGACCTGTAAGCCACTTTCAGCTATACGCTAATAGGCTCATTTCCATTTTCTTGCTTGAGTTGCTTTCTTTCTTCAGCTTCCTGGTCATGAACATTGGAATGTACTTTCCGAAGCCTGTGGAAAACAAAAATATTTCATTGTAATCGAGGGTTTATTATTTTACACGGTTATTGTGGGCAGCTAGGTGGTTCAGTAGATAGAGCACTGTACTGGGAATCAGGAAGACTCATCTTCATGAGTCCAAATCTGGCCTCAGACACTTACTAGCTATGTGACCCTAGGTGAGTCACTTAACCCTGTATGCCTCAGTTTCCTCAACTGTAAAATAGGGATACCAATAGCATCTGCCTCCCAGGGTCTTGTGAGAATCAAATATACAAATATTGGTAAAGCACTTGGTATAGTGACTGGCATATAGTAGGTATTTAAGAAATGCTTCTTTCTTTCTTTCTTCTACCTGTCAAACCTGTCATCTTTAAGGTTCAAATAAAAAAAAAAACTGTCTCCATAAAGCCTTCCTGGTTTCCTGAAGTATGTTTCTTCTCCCTCTTCTGAATCTTTATTCTACTCAGTTTGTATTTTTTTTTAAAGGAACTGGCCAGGTTCTGCCTTGTACTATAGTTATCTGTATCCTTGTATTTTTCCTACCCTTTCCTCTACTCAGCCCCTCCTTTCATTAACTGTAAACTCCTTGAAGGTAGATACAAGGTAGATACAATGTACCTTTGGTGCACACTGCCTTGGGTATGCTATCCAGCTGAATAAGAATATAAACTCTGAGAAGATTAGGTTATTCTGTTGGTCTTGGTATCCCCAGTGCCTAGCATACAGTAGGTACTTAATAAATGATTGTTCTATTGAATGGTGGAAGTAGCATGCTGTCTTCCAAAGGAAGCTCCTATAGAATGGATTGTGTTAAGTTTCTTTTAGTAGAGGTTTAGGATTTAGAGTGGAAGGATCTATAAGAAATCATCTAGTCCAAGAACCTCTTTTTACAAATGAAGAAACTGAGGCGTAAGAGAATTACCCATGGCTACACAGCTGGGAGTTAGAATTTGAACCTCAATATCCGTTTCCAGGTCTGCCCTCTTTCTATAATAGTACTCTGTCCCTAGAGTTTTATACTCCTAGAAGGCAAAGATCTTATTCAGTCCCTAGCATAGCGTCCCACATAATCAATCAACCATTCAGCAAACATTTATTAAGCACCTCATGTATGACAGTCACATACTTATTAGGTGCTGAAGATACAGAGACAAAAACTAAAATGGTCCCTGCCTTCAAAATATACATACATATATACATACATTGTATATACATAATATGTGTATGTTTGTGTGTATGTATGCATATGTGCACACATACATATGTACATAATATCTATATATGGTCCTAGAAGGTATATATATACATATATATACACACTTATATGTACGCAAACACAATATGCATACATAAATCTACATGTGGTCCTAGAATTAATATGAATATACATATGTATGTGTGTGTGTGTGTGTGTGTGTGTGTGTATACAAGTTGTATTTGTCCTCTGTTCTTGAAGAGGACCATGACATTAGGAAGATGATGACATGACTTGCAATTGACTTTGATTTGAGTGAGGGAGGGATGTGCAAGGTCATCAGCCTCACTTTCTCCTCCAGAGCCATCTGGGTCCAGTGGCCAGATATTCATCAGGACAACTGGAGATGTCCCAGGATGCAATGGCAGACCCTGGCCCTTTGAAGCTGAGGTCTTTTCAGGTTCTCCCTTTGAGTGAGGTAACACCCATTCAGTGAATAGGCATCTTTAAGAAGTCAAGGGATGGCCCCTTTAATAAAAAAAAAAAAATCAAACTGGGAGGTGAAGACCCCTAGGGTTGCTGGCCTAAAGAGAAACAGTTACTATTTACATTCACTCTGAGCCTGGAGGGCCCAAAAAATAACCATGAAGGGGTGCTTGGGCAGGGACATATTGTTGTCCAAGCTATTAGCACATGTATGTGTATATAAACATGTAACTATATATGGTCCTAGAAGGTATACATATATTCAAACATATGTGTGTATACACACATACATTTATGTGTAAGTATGTAGCTATGAAGGTATCTATTTCTTTACAAAGCAAATATGAAGCGCTGGGGGCAGCTGCAGAGGGGCAGGTAAAGAGTTATGAGGCTTCACACAAAAGATGGTGCCTGAGCTCTATATTGAAGGAATTTAGGGATTGTCAGAGGCAAAGATGAAGAAAGAGCGCTTTCTAGACATGCCAGCCAGCCGAGAAAGGAAATAGAACGTCATGTGGGAAAAACATTAAGAGGGTCAGTCAGTCAGCGCCATAGAGTATGTGAAAGAGAGTAACAATGGATAAGTCTGGGAAGGCTGCTTAGGGTCAGATTGTGAAGGGTTTTAAGTGCCAAGCAGAGGAGTTTATACCTGCCCTCAAGGTAATAGGGAATGACCGCAATTTGTGACTTAGGGTAGGGACCCCATGGGACCTGCACTTGAGGAAAATCTCTTTGGCAGCTGTGTGGAGGATGTTTTGATATGGGAGGGAAGAGACCAGTTGGAGGTCGTTGTAACAGTCCAGGTGATAGGTGACAAGGATCTGAACTATAAATGTCTTTTGCTGAAGATAAAGAGAACATAAGGAGATGATATCTGTTTTTGAAGGAAAGATTTTTTTCCCCCTCCAGCCTTCTCATTTAAATAAAAGCTACTTGTACGAGTGCATCTTGACTAAAGATTTTTCTATCTAGTTTGAAATATTAGCAAAAAAAAAAAAAAATCAGACCCTAGCTTGTATACAGAGCAACCTTAGACCTAACCTCTAATTTGATGTGAATAATAAAAGAACATTGGGTGTCATTTCATCATCTTTTGTAATCAAATCAAGATTTGCATATGCAGTAATAATAAACAGTGACCACAAAAGAAGAATGCTTCATTTCCTGAATGGCAGGAGTGGTGTGGTACATATATTCACAATCCACTTGTCAAAGTAATTTCTGAGACTTCAAATTTGGGCTCATGAATCCATAATGTTTCCCAAGCTCCTTTAGCAAGAGCATGAATCACCTTGTTGAATATTCAGCAGTCTACTTCCCTGATTCCCTTGGCCAGAACAATAAAATGTTGGTATCCCCAAAAACAAATAACTAGACTCTAAAAGTATGACGCTGACTTCTGTTGTTCAGTCATTTTTTCAGTCATGTCCAACTCTTTGTGACCCCATTTGGGGTTTTCTTGGCAAAGATACTGGAGTGGTTTGCCCTTTCCTTTTCCAGCTCATTTTACAGATGAGGAAACTGAGGCAAACAGGGTTAAGTGACTTGCCCAGAGTCACACAACTGGTAAGTGTCTGAGGCCAGATTTGAACTCAGGTCTTCCTGACTTCAGGCTGGGTACTCCATAATGCCACCGAGATGCCCAGATGACCCTGAGTACTCCAAGAGTATTCACGGACTGTGGAGAGGATAGCTTCTCAAAGTAAATCCCTTGTCTTTTGTTATTGTCAAGTTACTGGAGATTGTAGGATTATAGATACAGTAACGTGAAGGACCTCAGAAGTCCAATCTCTTCATTTTACAGACAAGGAAACTAAGGCCCAAGGAGACTGTGCCTTGCCCAAGGTCATACCTGCACTAAGTGCCAGAAATGAGCTCTGAACCCAGGTTTTCTCCCCTTTTGAGTTACAACTCTTTGCACTGTACCACAATTGATTTAAAATGAGTTAAGATTTTGGAAGGGTAAGACCAGCCCTCTAATTTTATGAGGAAATGGGAGATCTAGGAAGGTTAGGGGACTTGGCCAGGACCACCTAGCTAGTAAGTGTCTAAAGCGATATTCAAACCCAGGTTTTCCTGACTCTGAGTTGAGCACTAGATGTATCCAGAGTAATGGCGGCAGGGAAATCCAAGAAGTTATGCTAATTGCCATTGTATTTGCTCCTTACCTCCCCACCCCCCTCCCAAGAGCGAAGGAGATTGACATAGGCTGAGCACCTTCTGAAATTGCTAAATACAATAATAAGATATGTTTTGACACAAACAAATCCAGTGTGGTTCACTAAATTATTATTTTTTTTTGATTAGGCAATGGGGTTAAGTGACTTGCCCAGGGTCACACAGCTAGTGAGTGTTATGTGTCTGAGGCCGGATTTAAACTCAGGTCCTCCTGAACCCAGGGTCGGTGCTCTATCCACTGTGCCACCTAGCTGCCCCATACTGAATTATTTTAGAGCATGACATTCCAATAAAACGCTATGTTAATAGTCTTACAAATGCCAGTGTGATACTTTGCACCAAACTCAGTGGCCCCTACCTTCCCCCACCCCAATTAAGTTATTTAAGTCTTTGTTCTGATCCCTAAAATCCACCTTTCTATGGGAGGCCTTTCCTAATCCCTTCCTCTATACTAGTACCTTCCCTCTGAGCTTACTTGCAAGATACCCTGTATATATTTTGTTTGTTTGGGGCTGGTAGTTAGCTCAATGGAAAGAATACCGGTCCTGGAGTCAGGAAGACTCATCTTTCCGAGTTAAAATCTGATCTCAGACACTTACAAACTGTGTGATCCTGGGCAAATCACTTAACCCTGTTTGCCTCAGTTTTCTCATCTGTAAACTTAGCTGGAGCAGGAAATGGCAAACCACTCTGGTATTTTTGCCAAGAAAACCCCAAATGGGATTATGAAGAGATGGACATGACTAAAAAAAATGACTGAACATGAATAAAAATACTTAGAGGGACAGATACATGTAGTTTTTTTAAGAGAACAGAATATTCAGCCTTACTGGTTCAGAGTCAGACATGGCCGGAAAGTGACTCAACAGCAACATGGTTGTTTGCTTGTTGTTTCTTCTCTCCCCTCCCCCACAATTAGACTGTGAGCTCCTTGAGAGCAGGGACTGTTTCTGACTTTCTTTGTAGCTCAAGCCATTGATATGATTCCTGGCAGATAGTAAGTGCTTAATAAATGTTTATTGACTTGATTCTGGAGAAGAAGAAATCCCTTTAGATGCTTTCAAAGGTTTGCATGGAAGCAGGATTTCTTTTTTTTCAGTCCTGGAAACCTTTGTGACTAGGGGTGGAGGACAGGGGTACAGCAACAGCTAATCAGTTTTCTATATTTTCCCCCAAATAGCATTATATACTTAACTTTCACGATGGTCCCAAAGTCATTAGAATTCATGCAGCTGCTGTCAACAGATGCTTCACTTTTATATCCACAGTCATAAAACAGCACTTAACCACTATGGCTTACTCATGAACACATTTCTGACACAATCCAATACTAAGTCCTGGGAGTGGCCTTGGGAAAATTCTCTCTTCTTCTAGAGGTTCTGAAATAGGGATTTGCATATCATCATACTTACTGGATGGTAATGACGACAATCGCTGAGAAGCAAAGAAGAGAAAGAAAACCAGTCACAACAGCCAGCACTGTGATGGGATGACTTCCGTCTCCCATGCTATGGGTCTTCATTAACTGCTCCCCACACCTTTCACCAAAGAAATCCGGATGACAGCTACAAATAACCCACAAGCAAATAATGTCATTCAGACTGAAAAGTCAACTCCATCCTATTATCTACAAAGTCTTCAAAATCTTGGAAACAGGCGTTCAAGCATCATTTAGAAGGGAAGGCATGTTACTACCCTACAATGCCATACTTTGTATTAGAATGTCAGTCAGTAGTAGAACAAGTTGAGATTAGTTTGGGTGTGATATTCCAAGAAGACACACCTTTTTATTCTTCATGTTCTATTTCATGACCTACTGAGGAGCTCAATGATTTGTTATGCAGCTTAAAAATTATACTATCGCTTAATTTGTATGACATAATTTTCAGTGGAGAAATCTGTAAAGCATAAACAGGAAGAATTTTTTTTTCTTTTAGGAAAAATATTGACACATATTAAAGGGATGGGTTACTCTGAAAAGCAAAGTGGATAGTTAAGGATCTCTGACTTGGTTTATAGGATAAATGCGAACATTAACAAGACATAGAACAACTTACTTGCAGGTCACTACTTCTAGGCTTTCTAGGTATTTGCATTCTCCATGAATGCAATAATTTTTGTATTTTTCATCACATGGATTAGCCATCTTTTTGTGTTTTCTCTTTCTGCCTTTATTTTTCTTTCTTCGGGTCTTGGGGTTTTTTTCACTTTCTGTTCTATTTTTCTTGGGGTTAACCAAACGTCCAACTGGAGAAAAAAAATTTGTTAATGGAAAATATTCTTGTTTCCATTTTGATGTACAAGAAGAAAAAAAAAAAACTATACCAGTGGTTCTTTCAAATGAACAATTTCCATGTCTTCTGAAATTTACAATTATCTATAGGGACCTGAAATATATAAATAATTAGCCCCCAAAATAGGAGCATAATATTTTAAAATCATATCTTTACTGTGTTCCAGTTTCATAGCCAAGGAATCAATTTTTCTTTTGGATGCTTTCGGTTTTCAGATTACTACGACTAATAGGAATCATGCTTGTTGACTAAAAGAGACTCTCAAATGATTTTGATAATTAGCAGGACTAGAGAAACCTCATTCATCATCACGAAGTCCAACACCCTCATTTTACAGATGAGGAAAGAGACATTGAGGTGAAAGGTAGTCTGCCCAAGCTCACACAGCTAAAAAGTGCCAAAGATGAAGCTTGAACCCAAATCTCCAGCTTCTTGGTCAGTGCTCTTGCCCTCATTTAATTCTGTTTCATGAATTAGAATAAAGAAAAATTATGATTAAATGAACCATCAGGGAATAAAATTGGACTTTTGTAATATTGACTGTCCCTTACAATCAGGACTTAATTGCTCTGGTATAACTGCCTGTTTTCTAGATTATTTAAAGTCAGCTTTCTTATCAGTACCTACATCAACAAATGATGAAACCCAGAGTAATTAATTTTGTCACTTGTTAGGAGTTAGGATTTTCCAAAAAATGTGATACGGGAGAAATTTCAACAATGACCAAAATTGAAACTATCAATACACTTCACTTCTCCCTGTCTCCTATGATACCAGAATTGAATTTGATTCTCCCCCTTACCTTCCATTCCTCAGCTTTGTGTTAAAGTTTACTTCCAATTACTTTTCCTAACTGCATCCAACATAGAAATTATTCTGCCATGGTGTATGACCCTCTGACCTTTAACCCCCATGTCTCCAGGTATGCACCCTCCTCTCACACACACACTTTTCACCTCCTTTTTATGTTTTGTCTTCCTCCACTAGAATATAAGCTCCTTGAGGCCAGGTACTTGTATTTTTATTCCCAGCACTTAATTCTTGGCACAGAGTTTATCTATCATGATTGTGCGTTTCTTGCTTGCCAGAATAATGCAGAGATAGAGAAAGTAGGATGATTGGTTGTGGAGTGGGAAGGGGAAAGGGGAAAGCAATATGAATTATATTTCTATCAGTTCCAGGATAAACTTATTTGTACAAGCAATAAGTGAATCATATGGGGACAATGAAAAGGAAAAAAAACAACATCCCCACCCTTATGGTCAATAACTTTCACCAAGGCCCACTGGCATACAAAGCATTCTTAGATCAAGCATGTTGGAAATTATGCCAAGGATACTGGAGAAAGCCTATAGTTAAAGAGACGACAAATTGACATGTTGGCTATCTCCTAACAGAAAAAGTAAACAATATGGAACCACAAGCCATGAGTTTAACCCTAAAGTCTCTGACTCCATATGAGTGGAGAGTTGGATACACAGACCAGGTCCTAGGACACAAATTCAGAAATCAAAATCAGTGAATATTGTTCTATATAGCTAATAGATGAAAGAAAAGAGACAGATCACAAACAATTTGTGAGTGGCTGAAATGTTGGTTGAAATGGATGGTTAACCCCACAGACATTCAACATAATAGCTTTTCAGAGGTGTTCAGAAAAATAAATAGATCATACTTTCTATGATAAACACTCCTATTTCATGATACACTGTACTTTTTTAAAAAAAATGACCCTTTTTCTGCTTCTAATATTTAACCTAGGTAGTTAAGAAGGCAGCAAATTGTCATATCTGAAGGCAGATTATTTTATTTTATCATTACTCAGATATCATTTTTTTCTAACTCAGATTTTATAAAAATTAAAAACAAATTCTGACCCCTCTTACCCTTTATAACCTAAATTCCTATCCCTTTCCCCTTATTTGCCCAACCACCTACCCCTAGGATCTACCAACATACAAACACATGGTCAAGAGTGGTATAGTAGGAACGGAGTCCCCACCACATGCCTCTGACATATAATGTTTTTTTCTCAATTTATCTCAAAAAGCAGCCTTTGTCAATATGGTGGTTGTTAGGCACCAAATGAAAGCCCAGGAGACAGCAATAGAGAATTAAGGTTAAGTCATGGGGAATTGTTAGAAGGCCATGGGCAACTGTAATGACATGATTTATTGTGCCTAGGAGCTATTCAAGAACAGGGTAGATGATCTTCTGCCAGATAGGTCCACGCTTCAGGTAGAGATTAGCTAAAGCAACTGCTAAGGTACTTTCTAACTCTAAAAATTAATGAATCCTCATTTTTTAAATTGAAATTTCAGATCCAATTTCATGGGTCCCTATTTTCTCGGGGAATGTAAAAGTGATTTAGGTAGCATTTTATCTTTTTGACTTTGTTCCCTTGATTTAGAAAAGGAAGTCAAAGGTAAGCATCCTAGAGGTATAATGCAATGGCAGCAATTTGTAATGATCTATCCATCCATCCATCAATCCGTCCTTCTGTCTGTCCATCCATCTCTCCATCTGTCTATTTGTATATCATTTAGATATAAATACATATTTGAAAATCTGTTTTTGTCTTTCAGCTATTTACAAGACCGAATTGTTTAACTCAACATTAAGAGTTTAAAATCTCTTGTAGCTCTGACTATTGTAGCAATTCTATTTTCTCTGGCAAACTCCACAGCTCAGTTTTTTCCAGACCCATTCTCAACAACCCTTGGAGTCTGATCACTGCATTGCCTAGGAACAATATAATTACATTCAGAAGAAAAGTGGAAAAAAATGAAAGATAATAGCTCACATTTAGTTAGGACCTTTAAGTTTAAAAGAGCTTTCCTAAAAAAGACTATGTGAAGTTGTTACTACAAATATTGTTATTCCATTTAACACTGAGCACCAAGGTTCAGAGGCATGAAAAGACTGGCCAACGTCAAACAGCTAGAACATTCTAGAGCGAGGTAAGGCCAGGTCTCCCCATTCCAAATCCATTTCTCTTTCTGAAATACAACATGGCTATTCACAATATGCCAAATAAAGTCATGGGTCAGAATATGGGATTCTGAGATGAAATGGGTCTTAGAGAACGTTTTTTCTAGTCCACATCTCTCATTTCACACATGAGAGAAAAGATTTGCCCGTAATAAGTGATACAGCCAAGACATGGGTGCCTGAGTAGAAATCTGGCGTTCTGGCCACCATACCACACTTAGCACTAATTTCTAAGAAAGTCCTGCTCTACTTAGAAACTGATAAAGAAAAGCGCTTCAGGATCAAACAGAAAATACTGTTTGGCATCGAAGACCCTTCACGACCTGGCCCCTTCCTGGCTGTCCAGTCTTCTCACACTTTACTCCCTTCCCCACACTTAATGATCCAGCAACATCTGCCTCCTTACTGTTCCTCCCAAGGGTTGCTCCGTCTCCTGACTGTACCTCTGTCCTTACTGGCCTACAGGACTGGAACGCTCTCCCGCCTCACCTCTGCTTACAGGCTACCATAATGTCCTTCAAGACTCAGTTTAAATCATATGTTCTTTGTATGGCTTTTAAGGGCCTCCCTCCTCTCTCCCCCTTCCCCCACCCCCTGCCTTGCTAGTGTCTTGCCTCTGAGATTACCTTGCATATACATATTTGTTTACATGTTTTCTCCCACGACAGAATGTGAGTTCCCTGAGGACATGTATCATGTTTTTGCCTTTCTTTATACCCCTTGTGCTTGTTCAGTCATTTTTCAGTCATGTCTGATTCTCTGTGACCCCATTTGAGGTTTTTTGGGGTTTTTTTTGGCAAAGATACTGAAGTAGTTTGCCATTTCCTTCTCCAATTCATTTTACAGATAAGGAAACTGAGGCAAACAGGGTTATGTGACTTGCCCAGGGTCACACAGCTAGTAAGTGCTTAGCACATAGTAAACACTTAATGAATGCTCATTAACTGACTCCTGTACCAAGCATGGGAGATAGCTATGTGTTTGTAGCAGATCCACTAGAAAACCTGAAGGGAGGTTTCCCTTAGGAGGATGCTTGGCAAATCCACATATTCTTATACCACCTTTCACTTGATTTTTTTTTTACTCACCTTTGATTGAATCATCTATGATATATCCAGACAGCTGTGGGTCTTCCTCATACTCTTCAGAATAGTCATATTCAGTCTCTGAGGATATTTCACTTCCTGAGAATACTTCAGTCACTGAAGATAGCAGGAACCCATCTGTGCTATGGTCCCCAGAAAACAAGTCATTTTTCTCAGGGTAGGTATCATTGGCATCCGATGAAGCAACATGATGGCACACTGTGGAGCCGAACAAGAAAATGAAGCGGGATTCTGTTTAGCCTATCGGCCACATCCAGCGGAACACAGGTGTGAACCTCTTCCTACCCAACAGTCACAGCATGTACCCTGACTGCAACTGAGTCACTGGGGAAAGCCAATTTACATTTTGCTCACAGGTAAACTGGGATGCTCCAATGATAATTCTTTTATTAGTGGTTTCCTTTTTGCCACACGGTATAGTGCCAAGCCTGGTTTGGAAGTCACAATTCTTACTTTTCTAGTCCTGGGTGGGTCACTTACAGGCTATGTATGGTCAAAACACTACTATTTTGAGCCTCAGTTTCCTTATTAACTTCAGTTTGAGGTTCAGCTTCATATAAACTTTTTCTTTCCTGTAAAATGGGATCAAGAGTCTCACTATTACTAGCTACCTTATAGGGAGGAAAGGGTTCCAGAAACGATAAAGCACTGTCCAAATATGAGTTATTATCATACCACATTTAACTGGAAGAGACTGCATAGTCCAACCTTTCCATTTTACAGGTAAGGAAACTGAGGACTGTAATTTCTGTTAAACAGCACTGCTATAAGCTTTCAGCAAGAATAAGGTTATAATAATATATAAAAGCTGTCATCTGAAATGACATTTTCCCCCCTCCCTTTGTGGAGGAAAATGTTTCCAGCTATAAGAAAAACACTGAAAGGGACTTAAGACGTTAAATAAAATTGCAACAGGGAATGGCTCTATTTGCTTTCCAATGCACTCGGTCCTATTTTTTATTCTCAGCTAGGATGCTGAGTTCTCTTTCTTTAGGACGTATAATAGGCTCTGGCTCTTGCTTGTCAGAAAGATTCACTGGGGAAATGAAAGCTTCCACATGTTGCTAACAGGTATTTGAGCAGTACAAAAAGCAAAGAGAATGGAAATTACACGATTTGCTCAGAGACACTTGCTGGTCCTGTGACTTTCAACAGCTTCTGACCCTCGTAGGATAATAGGCTCATATTGAATCTGGGGTCATAGACACAGAACCAGAAAAAAACCTCCAAAGCCATTTAGTTCTACACCTTTTATTTTACAGCATGGCACAGTTGTGAGTGATGGATTTGGAGTCACGAAGACAAGTTCAAATCCTGCCTCAGACCCTTACTAGCTGTGAGACCCCGGGCAAGTCACCTCATCTCTCAGCCTCAGTTTCCTCATCTGGAAAATAGGGGTAATAGTAGCACCTACCTCACAATATCAAATGATAAAACCCATAACATATGTAAAGCACTTTGCAAACTTTTAAGTACTTATTGTCATTTTAATAAGAAGAAGAAAACTGAGGCCCAGGGACTTTAAGCAATTTCTCCGAGGTCATTCAGGTAGTCAGTATCCCAGTCCGGCGCCAGGCCTTGTTTCACTGGACTAGGCTCCCTCCTCAGTTTATTCACCTGTAAAATGGGGATGCTGTCAATCCTAAAGCTCTACGTAGAGCCCAGCTCATGTTATTTCCCTCTGCAGTTTCCTAGTCACTACCTGGCGCTCTTTGACAAAGTATCCAAACGGTGCTTGGAGGAAGCGTGTGCCCCGGCTAGGGCCAAGGCTAAATAAAGCTAAACAAAGCGTCCCGGGAGGCTCTCCGCCAGCTGCCACCCGCAGTAGGTGCGCTCGCCTCGCCAGGCCCGCCGGTCCCTCCCGGCCTGCGCTCCCGAGGAGGGCCAGAGCTAGGGACCAGCCCGTGGGAAGAAGGCGCCCCGCGCCCCCCGCGCGCCCCGCGCCCCGCGCCCCGGCGGCTCACCTGCGCTCAGCACTAGGAGGGACAAGAATAGGGGCGACGTGGTGGGTGGAGGCGGCGGCGTTCTCATTGGCCTCTCGGGGCGGCGGCTCCGGCTCCGGCTCCGGCTCCGGCTCCGGGACGGCTGAGACGGGCAGGTCAGCGGCGGAGAGCGTGCCAGTGTCCCGTCGGGGCGAGAAGCAGTGGCGACCTCCCGTGCAGGGTCACGTCCGAGAGCCGTGCGCCCGGCTCCCCTGGGCAGTGGGGTCCCCGACGGCCGCGGCAGAGGCAGCAGCGGCGGAGACAGCGGAGACGGCGGAGACGGCGGAGACGGCAGAGGCGGCGGAGACGGAGGCAGCGGCGACGGAGGCAGCGGTGGAGGCGGCAGCGCTTAGACGTGCGCGCATTCCAGAGGTGCGCCCGCACCTGCGGCTTTATAAGCCCCCGGCGGGGGGACAACGCCGGCTAGGAGAGAGGGGCTGGGCCCCTGACGTCACGGAGGCTCCCCTGGATTGGTGGGGCCAGAGAGGGAGGAAAGGTTGCGCTCCCAAACCACACACAGACGGAGCCAAGCCCTTCTGGCGTAGGAAGGCAGGCTCTAGAGAAAGCAAAACTGACTCGTAGAGCAAGGGACGGGGAGACAGTGAGAGGTAAAGATTTCGAACGCGTTTTACGCTGGGAAAAACGCTTTACATAGGTTAACTTATTTCATCAACTTCTCCGAATGGTCCCAAGGCGCTCTGGGCACGAATTTCTTCTTCTGTAACCTAAGGGGGTTGGACTTGTTGACCCGTAAAGCTTTTTTCCAGGGATGCAGCGTCTAGCAGTAGGTGGGGCACTGGACTTGGAGTAAGAACTGACCTCAAATCCCGCCTCAAAGAAGAAGTAGCTGTGTGACCCTGGGCAAGTCCCTTACCCTCTCTCTGCCTCAGTTTCCTTGTCTGTAAAATGATAGGGTGTTGGATTTCACGACCTCCAATGTCCCTTCCATCTCTAAAACTTTGATTCTACGATTCAGACTTGTGACCTTCGGTGAGTGCCTTTGTGCCTCAGTTTCTTTATCAGTAAAATGAGGGGTGGCGCTGCACTTGATGGCCTCTAAGGTCCCTTTTTCTAGTTCTTATCTATGATTTTATGATTGATTCTATTACTTTTGAAATTGATTTCCTGTAATTCCTAAAGTTAGAGATATCCTGGTAATCTTTTACTAAAAAGTTTCAAAGCACTTTAAAAATATATGACTCTAACAATGAGATGGGTTTATTATGGATTCACCTAATTAGAGGTGTTTAAGGAGAAACAGGATGACCATACGTTATGGGGAACATTGGATTAGACCAATGGTTCTCAAGCATTTTGGTCTTGGGACCCCTTTTGCACTCTTAAATATTATTGAGAACCTCCAACCCCTCCCCCACACAATGAATTTTTCACTTATGTGACATATCTATATATATATGTATTTGGAAATAGTATTTTATTTTCTCCAATTACATAAAAAAACTAATTTTCAACATTCATTTGGTGTAAGATTTTGATTTTCAAATATTTCTCCCTCTTTCCCTTCCCTCCCCACTCCCCAAGACAGCAAGCAATCTGATAGGGGTTATACATGTACAATCAGGTAAACCTATTTCCACATTAGTTATGTTGTGAAAGAAGAAATAGAACAAAAGAGAAAAGCCACAAAGAAACCAAAACAAAGCAAAAAAAAATAACAACAAAAGTGAAAATAGTATGCTTCAATCTGAGTTCTGACTCCGTAGTTCTTTCTCTGAATGTGGATAGCATTTTCTGTCATTGTCTTGAACCATTGTGTTGCTGAGAAGAGCTAAGTCGGTCATAGTTGATCATCACACAGTGTTGCTGTTACTGTGTACAGTGTTCTCCTGGTTCTGCTCATTTCACTTAGCATCAGTTCAGTGACATATTTAACACATTAAAAACAAAAACATCCAAGTATCATTATAAAAAAAATAGTTTAAGCCTTGTGGTTACCCTGGAAGGGTCGAAGGGACTCTCAGAGGTCCCCCCACCACACTTTGAGGCCTGCTTGACTAGACTTCCCAGAATCCCTTTCAATTTTGTTAGTGTGATTCTAAGGCATCCCTCCATTGAAAAGGGTTAGTCTCCAAATACAGAAGTGATTTTCTTCCAGAGAGACAATGTAAATGCTGTGGAAAGGGTGCTTCATGGGGTGTCTGAGGACTTTGGTTCGAACCTTAGCTTTTCTACTTAACTGCCTGCTAATTTTGGGCAAACCCCTTAAATCAGATGAACCTCTCAGTCTTCTCCTCTGTAAAATGAGGGGATTTGATGAAAGACATAGAACTGTCTGGTTTTGCCAAAAAAAAAATTCCCTTTCTTTTAAAATCTGTGATGTATCCGGAAATGAATATAGTAAAAACAAAGGCATCATTTTTTTAAAAAAGAAGAAAATCTTTTGAAAATGAAGGGGTTGGACTAGATGACCTTTTAAATTCCTCTCCAGCCCCACATCTACGACTATAGACCACCACCTCACTCCTATTCTCTACGGGTGACTTTAAATTATGGTGGCACCTGAATAGGAGGGATCTTTTTGAACTAAGGCCTTCCTAGTCACACCCAAGGAGTGGGAAATTTCCTGCTCTGTTTATACCTATAGTCATTTCTACTGATGAATTTAGAATTTAATGGGGTATTTAATTATCAGCTTTGTCACCTGCCCAGCAGTCAATAAGTTAAACACATTAAGAGGAAAGAAAGGATGGAATTGAATTTGACTTTTTGGTCATGTGACTTAACCCCAAATTTGGATTGTTCTTGAATTGAGGAAATTATTGAATTGTTTTCTCTTTTCAAATTGTTTCCTTGACCTTAAGATCCATATCTACTCCTGATTATTCCAGTAAAACAACTTTTTGAGGAATGTGGGTCATAGTGCATCTGCTAGTATTTTTGTGAAACTTTCCAAGCTAGTTACTTCTTTTCAAATGGTCTCTTCCAGTGAGTGGGCTAAATACCTCACCATTTTAGCATGAAATGAATAAGCCAATAAGGAATTCCTTGAGTTTAGATAGCCCTTCCTTTATGAAGAGCCCAGGACACATATTGTCATTTCCCTTTAACTGGTGAGAAAACTGAGATTGAGAGATAAAGTTGCTGTCCTCCAGTCATTTTAGTCATGCCTGACTCTTTGTGACCCTATTTGGGGTTTCCTTGGCAAAGATACTGGAGTGTTTTGCCATTTCCTTCTTCATTTTGTCAGGCAATTAGAAGTTAGACCCAGCTAGACAGTGTCTGAGGCTGGAGTTGAACCCAGGTCTTCCTGACTCTAGGTCCATTGCTCTATTCACTGAGCCACTGGCTGCTTCTAAAGGGATTAAGAAACTTGCCTATTTCTTAGTAAAGTAAAAATTAAAATAAGTTTCTTCCCCTTCCCCAGCTTCTATAAGTGATGTGCTGTTTAAAAGTTTTGATTTCCAGAGATAGTTCATTGCTCTTGGCCTATCCCTCTACTTTTCTCTGGTTCTTAGTTTTCCCACCTATAAAATAAAGAAATTGGACTTCAATTACCTCTCAAATCCCTTTCCTCTGTGATAATCTATGATTTGATGGGTCATGAGTTCTTTGCTGTTATTGATTTGGGCACAAGATTGGCTCACTAGTGATCTTCAGCATCTGGTGCTGTGTTCTAATTGAAACTGGGTCCTTTCCAGTGGGAATAGCTTCACATTTTTTTCCTATTGTGACCTCAGAGATAGAGTATTAGACTTGCCATGAGGAAGTCGAAAATTCAGATCTTGCCTTCTATGCTTGCCAGCTGTGTGACCCTGGCCAAGTCATATAACTTAGCATCATTTTCCTCATCTGTAAAATGAGAGTGTTGGCCTTGATGACCTCTGAGGTATCCTTCAGTCCTAAATCTATATGGAGAAAGTTAGTATTGACAGCCCTACAAATCCAACTTGACTAGCTTTGAGGAACAAAGGGGAAATTGGGCATACATTGCTATGTAAACAGAGTAATCACTTTCTTCTTCTTTTTTTTTTTAGGCAATTAGGGTTAAGTGACTTGCCCAGGGTCACACAGCTAGTAGTCTCAAGTGTTTTGTCTGAGGCCAGATCTGAACTCAGGTCCTCCTGACTTCAGGGCTGGGGCTCTATCCACTGTGCCCCTTCACTTTCTACATCTTAAGAACTTCCTAAAACCTGGAGTCACTCCACATGAAGACTGAGCATTGTGGGGATTTTACAGCATCCTACAGTATAGCATTGAGGCATTATGTTTGCATCCTACCACGATGTAACATCCCATGTTGTGCCATGGCATTCTTAAATATATTCACGAGTAGGAAACCTGCTTGAGACGTATGTGGAATTCTTTGTATTCTGCTTGCTAAGCTTAGATGAGAGACAATTTCAAGAAATTCATGGATAGCAGCTCTTCTTCATTTTAAGAAACTGACGGCTCCCTTACTAGTGTGTTAGGTTAAGGGATCCCTGGGGGTAATTGCTTCTCAACGAGATGTATTTGGGGTGTACCATGTGAGTTTTTCTGACAAAGTTTTCTGTATAGATACAAGTGGTAATTTTGCCTTTTTTTAGCATTCATTGACAAAATTTCACAAATTTATTATTTTAAAAGATAATGTCAGGATCCAGATTTGAGGAATACATTTTAGTTAGTTTTATTTGTCAGTGTTGTTGGTGATCAGTTGTTTTTCAATTGTATTGGACTCTTTGTGACCCCAATTGGGGTTTTCTTGGCAGAGAAACTGTAGTAGTTTGGCATTTCCTTCTCCAGCTTATTTTACAGATGAGGAAACTGAGACAAACAAGGTTAAGTAACTTGCCCAAGGTCACACAGCTAGCAAGTGTCTGAGGCCAGATTTGAACTAAGGAAGATGAGTCTTCCTGACTTCAGACCCAGTGTTCTATCCACTGCACCACCTAGCTGCCTCTTATTTGTTGATGTAGCACCCCTAACTCACCCCACCCCTGCCCCTGAATGTTATTATGTATGAAATTATTCCTGGAGGTCACCTGTGTGACCCTGTCTAGCAAGTCCTTCAACTCCTGGGTCTCTGCTGACCATTTTCAAAGTGAGGAGGGGTAGGGTTAGATGGGCCTAGGGTTGCCTCTAGCTTCAGTCTTAAATATTTCTTCTTTGATCCTTATAGGTTTTCTTGAATGGCACGTTCTATTGTTTGGTTCCATATGGAGTT